TTAAAAATGGAGTCACTTAGGGTTTTTATCCTAGTTTACCCTAAAAATTAAACAACACGATAATTAAACAAGGTGGCGACTCACACACTCACGTGCATTTCTTTCTTTTGTCATATGCATCACATGCCTATGATATCTGGGGAAAGGGGTTCACAGTAGCGACCAATTTGCAACAAAAATTAATCAGTCGCAAATGTGCTCGTCGCAAATAATTTTGCGACCGATTGTCTAAGCGGTCTCAAATTAGAGACCGACTAATCGGTTGCAAATCAGTAGCAAAAAGTGTCGATCACAATTATTAAATGTGGTCGCAAATCGGTTGCAGATTCTGAAATTAATTGGTTGGCGATCTGTCGCAAATTTAAATTTAACAGTTATAATTTGACTGCAGTTCGATCGCTAGTCGATTGCAAAATATAATTACGGGTACAAAAAAATAATTTAATAATATTAAAAACCACAATTTTTTCCACTGTCAAAAATTGACATATATATACATATCACAAGCATCATCAGAAACAATAATAATCTAAGTAAAAACTGTAAATGTAATGTACTATACAAAATATGAAAAAATCAACGACAATCTAAGAAGCATCATCCTCGTCCATGTGTACTGCGTACTTGGCCACGACCTCCACGCGAACCACTGCCGGACGCGAAGCATTCATCCTGTCAGTGTACTGCCGTTACTTTGGCCACGGACCTCCCCACGCGAACCTCACAATGCGGACGACGTTTGAGTCAACTGGCCCTGCCCTCTAGCCATCTGTACTACAGATAACATACCTATATGCCCTGCCTCTAGCCATCTGTACTACAGATAACATAACCTATACATGTATATATATAATTATATGAATTGTAGAACATGTGGTAAATATGTATAAATATGTATAAGGGTAACTATATATATGTAAACTTACTAAGGTCATTTCTAATTAAGGTTAACTATATATATATAAACTTACTATAGTAAGTGTACGATTCCTCATTTTTTAGTTTTTAAAAAAATTTCGGCAGTACTTTCGGCATAACATAATTAAATCTCAAGTCAAAACACACTCACATAAACACTTATATATAATCCCAACGTATTTCCAAAGTCAAAATGACCACTACTAGGCCTTCAACTCAAATGTATCATTCATGTGATTTCCACTCAATAAAAACGATCCAAGTGTGATTAGTGAGACAATGCTTGCGTGTGTTTATCAAAATAGGACGATACTGTATTTACCAAAATTTCTCCCCAAGCCTTGTGTCAAAGATAATAACAAATTAGCAAACGACTTGTAGTTTAGTGGTATCAAGATTGTTGTTAGACCTGAGAAAGTTTGAGTTAAAATTTTAATAAGAATCAAATAAAAAAAAAAAAAAAACATACTTTTGGTTGCAATGGCCCAGTTTGGTTTTACACATCAAATAAAAAAACATACCTTTGGTTGAAATATAAACCTTTTTGTTAAAAATTATGTAATAAAATTGACAGAGGTTTCCTTTCAAAATAAGATTCAAATATAATGGAGCTGTATTGATTGCTAGGGACAATGAAATTAACATATCATATTTCAATGTTTCATTATGAAAAGAGGTTAAGAATCCAATCTTTAGGTCTTCTAAGTCCCTTTTCATAATAATTATTTTTTTTTTGAAAAATCCAATATTATTTATATATAGTAATTAATTACATTATTGTTATATATAGTAATTAATTACATATAAGTAATTTCAAAAAAATAAATTTCAATACACTTAATTAATTTGATTACTATAAAATTTGATAGTATTAAATTACACTCATTTTAATTTTTTTTACAGGTTACAATTATTTCTAATATGTGCATTATTTTTACAATTTTAGACTTAAGGTCATTTTTCTATATCCATTCATTAATTACAATTTTACAGTTTAAAATAATTATCCATTCATACAAAAATTACAAACCCAACAAAAATTCTATAAAAAAAGAAATACATAAAGAACAAACTTAAAACTTACAAAAGTTTTTCCAATTAAATCCTATTTATAACAAAAAAATATATTATACTTCAAATTTTCCAATAAATCCTATTTATAACAAAAAATATATTATCCATTCAAAATTACAACAAAAAATTCACCAACATTCACACAAAAAAAAAAAATTTACAAAAAATAAATAACAAAATCAACATAAAATAAAATAAAATATAAATTATTTTGCAACATATATAGAAACAAAAATGCAGATAAAATAAAAGGGTAAGAGCAGATAAAATAAAAGGGTAAGAGCACCTATCTAACCAGGCGACTGATGCGGCTTCTCTGGCGACTGGCATTGCATTTGGGAGGCGTGCTGGAAATAGAGAGAAGAGAGAAAAGAGGAGAAGCGGGGCACTGCAATTGCTCCCAAGGGGACCAAGGGGTTATAAAGCCCTAATTTTTTGCGACGAACAATTCATTTAAAAATCGGTCGCAATTTTTAATCATGCGATGTCATTTTATAATCAAACAAATTGCGACCGACTTGCGACCAAAGAAGTCGATCGTAAAAAAATCGGTCGCAAATCTATCACTAATCTGTTGCAAACCAGATATTAAATTTGGCGCAGAACTGCAGAGCGCAATTTAGCCAAACAAATTGCGACTGACTTGTGAGCAAAGAAGTCGGTCGCAAAAAATTGATCGCAAATCTGTCACTAATCCGTTGCAAACCAGATACTAAATTTGGCGCGAAACTACAGCGTGCAATTCAGCGATGGACAAAAAACGGTCGCAAATTCGTCCCATTTAAGTCGCAAAATTTATTAGCGCTAGAATTAGCGACGGATACGCAATTGGTTGCAATTCCATCGCTAATATTGTCACAGATTGGTCGCAAATCCGTCGAAAAATATTTAATCTCTATTACTTCAAAATTCATCGCAATCGGTTGCAAAATCATCGCAATATTGCGACCGATTTATGTCGGTCGCAAAAATCGGTCGCAAAACCGCATTTTTTTTTTGTAGTGGTACTCCATGGCACGGCTTGAGCGTGCTAGCCTCTGAGTCTCAATGGTGCTTTCCCTTGAATTCTGCACAGGAGTGCTGGATTACAAGCTTAGAGCGTGCTAGCCTTTGAAAATTTTGCTTAACTTCATTCTTTTCTGTATTTTTGGCTGGTTTCTTATTAAAAATTTTCATAATAAAGTGAAATGTGATTCAATAAAACTTTATTGAAAAACATAAATAAATTAATTGAAATATAACAAAAATAAACAAAAACTAATTGGAAACCTAAATAAAATTTACTGGAAATACCTATAAAAATAAAACCTATCAAATTTGATTGGATATATTTTTTTGACTTGGCTTTAATCTTCTTTTTTTTTTTTTTTTTTTTTTTTTTTTTTTTTTTTTTTTGTCTTATCAAAAAATCAATTTTTCAATTGAAGAAAGGGTATTGATTTTTTTTTTTTTTTTTTTTTTTTTTTTGTCTATCAAAATCAATTTTTCAATTGAAGAAGGGATTGATTTTTAAGATTCAGATAAGTAATTTGTTTCTTATTATATGTTGAGTTTTGGAAATAATTTTTTATTTTTTATTTTCTTTTTCGTTACTGAATGAATTTGTAACTATTATCATTTTGATTTAGTAAAAGATTTATATCTCTCTCACAATAAATTAATAGATGGCCTCTTGATTATTAAATATTTTTAATTCTTGATATTTTTTTCTCTTATATCCTAAATTTGTTGGACTCTAAAAAAAATAGTGTTTGAGAAACTGGGAAAAAATACTGAAACTATATGTTTCTGTTCTGGGTCACTTTTTGAGATTTCAAGGATCCATTTATATGAACAATGTTCATTTTTTTTCTAATGCATTAAGTAATATTATCACTATAGACAAAGTGATTACCACTAGCATTCTGTGTTATTTTTAAATAATTCAAATTATTTTTTCATTTCTTTTTTTTGTACCTATCATTTAGAAATAATTTTGTATTTTTTTACTTTTCCATTATAAATGTATATAGATACTGATTTAGGGTTGGGAGACATGGATTAGAGATTGAGTGATAGCTTGATTTACTTTTTGGACATTTATTGAGTTTTCAATAATCTGCATGTATAAATTAGGAGCTGAAATTGAGTTTAGGAATTGGATTGAACTTTATTTTGAAATCACTTTATTATATAAAATATAATTAAATATATAAAATTAGCATTGCAAGTCGTTTTTAGAGCAAAGAGTAATGAAAATAAACATTGTATTTATTTAAATATAAATAAAAACATATGCTTTTATATTATATAAATAACAAAATTAAATGAATACAAACAACGAGTATAGTAAACGTACAATACACATTATAAAAAGACTAATACTTTAAAAATATAAATAAAATTTATGAGAAGAAATATTAAATTTTGTAAAGTTTGACAAAATTTTAACTTAGTTCCAGCATGTACGTACGTGTCTATTGTTATCATTACTTTTTTTTAATAGTGTCTAAGCTTCATTTTTTATCACTTGAGTATTTAAATAGATAAAATTTTTTAATTAAGTAAATTATAGCCGGATTATTTCACCACAAACCTTAAATGAACGTAGGAGCAAAACTAGGAATTGGAGTTTTGGGGGAAGAAACGTAATATTTTGAATCTGTGGGGTGCATATAGAGTTTAACCATAGTTTTTTTTTTTTAGTGATTCCAGTCAAATATTCATATACTAATTAATTGATAAAAAACTGGATAAAGATCAGACATTATATTTATAATAATCCCTTCTGTTATTCTTCCTTTTTATAATTTTGCAACAGAAATATAATATGTACAAAATTGAAAAATAAAAAATTGGAAGATGACCATTAAGTCACTATTACAAAGGGACTAAAAAAACAATTTACTAGGGAAATTACGATATGGAAACTCACCAACCAGTTAAAAAGGAAAAATCTATTATTTAAAAAATTAATATATTATCTTTGGAAGCCTAATTTTGGTTTTCACTTGAATTTCATTTCACAAGGCAATTGAATTAGACCACTCCACTATACAACACAAGATATTGACTTATGCCATGCAAATGGAAACTAGAACCTTAGAACCTCTTTTGTTCTCTATAAATATCTTCCATACTTCTCCATCCATTCCCTTCTTTTTCTTTACTTCGATTCACACACAGCACAGAGAAACATGAGGTCTGTTAAGTTTTTCATTTTGTTGGCCGTGCTCTTGGCTTTTACAGCTATTGCTCTGTCGTCAGAAGAAGAATCATATATAGATGAAAGTTCCGATATTCCTCGGCCTTCCATGCGAGGAATTGCAAATCGTTTTCTTGGCCAGAGAAGAATTACATGTGATAAATACCCTAGGGTTTGCCATGGGAATGGCAGCCCAGGGCCCGACTGCTGCAAGAAGAAATGTGTGAACGTGATGACAGATAAAGTAAACTGCGGGAAGTGCGGGAAGAAGTGTAAGTTCCCTGAGATTTGCTGCAAAGGGGCGTGTGTGAATCTAATGTCCAACAAGAACCATTGTGGAGGTTGCAACAACAAGTGCAAGAAAGGTAGAGTTTGCGCCTACGGAATGTGCAGTTATGCATAGTTAATTAGTTATCGATCCATTTGTTAATTATTTCCAATATCGGACAACAAATAAAGTATTATGTTTTAAATGAATAAGAGCGAAACGTAAGGTAGGCTTCGCTAGTGTTTATTTATTCTTTATATGTATGTTTATTCATGTAATAAGTGAAATATGTAATAATTTATAATCCTTGATTTACATAATTAATATTAATCTTTGTTACTCATTATTTGGTTAATATCAATTCAATTTATTTACGTGCATCAGAAGTTGGTAATGTTAATAATCAATATTTAATCAATTTCAAAATTTTTAGGCGTTTCTTTTTATTTTTTGAAAGTAAAATTTAGGTGTTTCTAAGCGATGGTGTTTAATCAATGATTAATATTAATTAAGTTTTTCTAATTAATTATTTATTAAAGTTATATTATGACTCTATTCAGGCATGACCACGGTTCTAAAACCGCCGGTTTTGGTTTCAAAAAAGGTGAAACCGGAATTGAACCACTTTTAGACGGTTTTAAAACTACCGGTTTCTGTTCGATTCCAGCTTGAAATCGAATTTAGATTTTTTTTTTTAACCTTTTAATTTTTTTAGCTAAATAAGAAAATTAATAAATAATATAGTATTAAATTAAAAAAAAAGACTAAAGAGTAAACTAATAGTTTTAAAATATATTAAAAAATTATAACTACACAAAATATAAATTTAAAATTCTTTACTAGTATTTAATTTCTATAAATTTAAATTGAGATATGTCAAAAAATAGACTTGTACTTAATTTATATTAGGAGAAAAGAAATGATAGGAGAAATTCAATGGAGTTTAGAGAAAAAGAATTGATATTGGTTAGTTTAGAGAAAAAGAATTGATATTTGTGAAAAAAGGGAAGATTATTAATGTCTATTTTCAATGGAGTTTAGAGAAAAAGAATTGATATTGTGAAAAAAGGGAAGATTATTAATGTATTCATAGTTAACTTATAAATTTTTATTCATAAAAGTACCCTTCAAATTTTTTGCTTTTTTTACCATTATAAAGGATAAAAATGTCCTTTAATTTTATATAACAATTAACAAAAAATATCATAATATAAATTTTTTATTCCAAAATATTACCTTTCAAGTAGCCATTTTTTTACCGTTATAAAGGGGTAAAATGTCTTTCTATCTAGTTTAAGAGTTAAAAAAATTACAATATAAATTTTTATTCCAAAAATTACCTTCAAATTGCGGTTTTTTTACTGTTGCAAGGGAGAAAAATTTCTTATTATTTTATTTACGAGTCAAAAATTAATAAATCTTAAATAAATATTGTTTAATTTATATGTAAAAACTATATATTATAAAGGCTAAAAGATTTAAATTAAAAATATTTAAATGAGGAACAATTTTTTTTTTCTCTTTTTCAAATTATAATTTATAAGTTATATTTATATTAATAAATTTTAAGATGATAGTTACTATATTTAATGACAAAAAATATAATTAATTTAACAATTAAAAATTATATGTAAGGTGTGATATTTTCTTTTTTTTTTTAATGATTTCAAACGGAAACTGCCAGTTTTAATTTCCAAATATAAGGAATCGCAACTGAACTTTAACCACCCGATTCGATTACGGTTTGGAATCTTGAACCATTGATCACGGTTCGGTTCCAGTTCGGTTTCGATTTGGAATTGAACCGTGATCATGCCTTGGGTCTACATCTATCAAGAGTGCTTTGGGATAGGTGGACAAACGGACGGGACTTATTTGGTTGAAAGAAGGAGACAAGCAATATACTCACCTCCAAACTCTTTCTAATTCAGGCCTCTATTTTGGACTTGATTTTTCCCCCTACAGTAAAGTTGTGTCAGGACAAGTTAGACCATTTAGTACGACTCTTTATGAAATTACATGAATAAAATTTTACACTAATTTTAAATTACTGGATATATGTCTATTAAGCGATCGCTTTAACACAGTTTAACAATGATTTTCATATTTTTTTAATCATCCGATAAGTGCTCAATAGTACAATGTTAAGTATAATTTTATCAATTTAAGTGTTCAATAGGTTAGCACAAAAATTAAATATATTACTTTTATTCTATTTTTAAGGTTTAAATATGTCTTGATAATAATTTTTCTTAATTCACTCGAAAATGAAGAAGATGGAGATCTTACATTACGTTTGGGAAATAGAGGAAAGAAATAAGGGAAGAAAATATTGAAGGATTACACTATTTATTTTTCTTCCTTATTTTCTGTCCTATGTTTAGATTGGAAGGAAAATTTAAGAGAGAAAGGAAAATAATTTTATTTTGCTTTGTTTTGGAAAAGTTCAAATTATGGAGGAAAGAAAATGGTATTATTTACATTTTTACCTTTTTATATATATAGATTAAACATGGGATAATTATAAATTTAGTATTTGAACTTTTGAAATTTTCTATATTGGTTTCTCAACGGAAAAAATAAAGTTCAACCATTAATTTTACAGTTTCTCTTTACTTGCTTTTTTTTTCTTTTTTTTTTAATTACTTTTTTTTTCTTCAGATCTTGCTGGGCAAATTTCTAAAGTTCTTTAGATTAGAGAAAGAGAAAAAAAAAAGAAAAAGAAAAAGAAAAACAGGTATTGATTGGTTGCTGAAAAAAAAAAGAAAAAGAAAAAGAAAAACAGGTATTGATAAAAAAAAAAGAAAAAGAAAAAGAAAAACAGGTATTGATTGGTTGCTGAGAGTAACCATTAATTTTGCAGTTTCTTTCTATTTGCTTTCTTTTTTTTTTTTAATTATATTTTTTTCCTTTAGTTCTTGTTGTGCAAATTTCTGAATTTTAACTTTTGATGTGTTTGGTTTATGAGAAACTATTAATAAAATTATCAGGTTTATGCTTACTAGATCAATCTGAAGCAAATACGTGTATCAATTATTTCATTTTGTTTTAATTACAATGAGAAAGAATCATGAGGTATAATTATTCAAAGTTTCTCAATATTAATTCACACTTTTGTTTCCTCTGTGATCGACATAGATTCATTGGTATAATTGTTGGTTGGAATCTGTTTGTTTTATGGTTAATTAATGCATATTAGTATTATTAAAATTTAGGCAAAAATGGTATTTTCATTAAGAAGATCATGTGATATTGATTAAATCAGTATCTTTCTATGAGTTGGTGCCAAATCAGCTAATTTTGATTGGTGGTGTAGGTACATGTCGTTCTAATCAGATTTTTGGCTAGTCACATAAGCATCAAACACTTGATTAAAAAATTTTTCATGATTTAAACATTTGATTGCAAAACTTTTCTGTTAAGATATAAAAATAGAAAATTTCGAAAAATTCAAACACTAAATTTATAATTATCCCGTTAAACATTATTGGGCATCTTGGAACTAAGTTGTAATTTATCACTTACTTGGTTAATTATAATAAATTATAATAATTTTTCCATCACAAATGCCTCACTTTTTCTCCAATCTGGAGAGATTATATATGTGTGGTCCGTATAGATTTTATGAGACATGTCACTTTCTTATTTTACGCCATCTTTCCAAACAAGGTAAAATGACTTCCCTTCCATATTTTCAATTTATATTTTCATTCCTCTTATAAAAACTATTTCATCGAAGTAGAATGTTAGATTTTCAAAGGATAATGTTATATTTAGTATCGGAATTTTCTAAATTTTTCTATTTTAGTATCTAAATAAAAAACGTTATTAATTGAGTATTCAAATTTTATAAAAAGAGCAATTACGTGTTCATAGTTTATTTAAACTATTAGAAAAATGATTGCATCGTAGATATCATTTTTTATTACTGGTAGTCGATGTAGCATTTTAAAGTGCACACTAGCATGACACATGGACTTCACATGGCATCAATAAGGAATTTTCATTTTTGCCACTCATTAAATGTTGCAACCTACTATGAATCTCTGTACAGAATATTCATCATCTTCGATCATTATCAATCATCATTTACCCATCCTTCACCCTACACTTGGCATCTTTTCAGTTAAACAAATGTCTCACCACAATTTAGTCTTATCTTGTAAATATTTAGTAGCTTACAAGAAATAGCCAGCAAGGCTAAATCTAGAATATTCTTTTGCTGTATATATATTCCCCTGTACTCATCATTTTACTCTTGAGAATGAGAATTACAAAACAAAATTTATTCTCCATTTTTCTTTATCTAAAGCTGCTCATGGTATCAGAGCCATTGGCCTGACCCCTTTCCATCTTTGTCATCAAAATTTTGTTTTTTCCATTTCTGATTTTCCCCTTTATCTTTCCATTATGACGCCTGAAGAACTTGTGAGTGCTATCACATCTAGCTCTAGGATTTCAGATCCAGATCCTATATCCCTTATTTATCTTTCCATTATGACGCCTGAAGAACTTGTGAGTGCTATCACATCTAGCTCTAGGATTTCAGATCCAGATCCTATATCCCTTATTAACTCTGATTCACCTGAACAATCTCTTGTTAGTATTCGATTGAATACCAATAACTTCTTATCATGGAGCAGATCTATCAAGATTGCTTTAAAAGCTAAAAAAAGCTTGGTTTTATCGATGGAACCGTTGCAAGACCTGAGCTTATTGCTGCTACTTACAACACCTGGGCCAGAACTGACAGTATGGTAATTTCTTAGCTCTTGAACTCTATGTCTTCAGATATTACAGAAAACTTTATTTTTTGCCCTACTGCTAAAAATTTATGGGATGAGGTTACCCACAGATATGGTCAAACCAATGGTCCTTTGGAATTTCAGATTCTTAGGGATTTAGCTAATGTCACCCAAGGCACAAAATCTATTAATGAATGTTACACATGTTTGAAAAGAAAATGGGATGAACTTTCAACCACTAGAGTCCTACCTGTTTGCACTCGTGATACTGCTTGTAGTTTTTCAGATCTTGATCAAAAGGACAAATTGATGCAATTTTTGATGGGTCTTAACGATGAGTATGACAATACTAGGAACAACATTCTCATCATGAATCCTTTACCTCCCCTAAACCAAGCTTTCAGCATGGCTTTAAGTGTTGAAAAACAGAGAGAGATCCACCATCACCCTATTGAATCAACTGAATCCACTGCTATCATGCTTTCTCAAACTCGACCATCCACAACCAACTCATTTTACAGAGGCAATCAAAGAGAGAACCATTACCATAACAAATCTAAAGATTCCAAAGATGATAGATATTGCACCTACTGTAAAAATCCCAATCACACCAAAGCAAATTGTTTCAAATTAATTGGGTACCCTGATTGGTTTCTTGAAAAGCGGAAGAACAAGCAACAAAAGGGAAACAACGCTGCTGTTCATAACATGGCTACATCAGAGTCTCCTTTGGATATTTCTATCTCAAGTCCAACTCAAGACACAATCAGTACCCATCTGAGCAAATTTATTCAGCAAGAAGTAAGCAGAGCTGTAAAGGGAAAAGCTTCAACCTCTGACTCTGGTATTTCTGATGCATCGATTAATTTTGTCCATTTTTTAGGTAGCACTTTACTCTCTGTTATGTTTGGCATTGATTTTAATGACAAAGGTAATTGGGTTATTGATTCTGGAGCAACAGATCATATAGCTTTCGAATCCAAATTCTTTATTTCTTTAAAAGATTTACCTAAACCCAAATTTCTCAAGTTACCAGATGGCACTATAAAAGTTGTTAATCAATATGGCAACATCGTTGTTAATAAAATAACATTATACAATGTTTTATATGTACCTTCGTTAAAGTGCAATATCATTAGTGTTTCCATTTTATCAAATACCTGTAAACTTTTAGTGCACTTATACCCAAATTCTTGTTTCTTCCAGGATATGCAGACTGAGACTATTGTGGCTTCTGGTACAGTTGTGGCAGGATTGTACTACCTCACCAAAGACTCCTTTTCTCTTCAAAGTCACAATGCCATCTACCTAGCAGATTCTACACACCCAGTCATCTTGCCTATCTATGGCACTCTAGATTAGGCCACTTATCAAATAAGAGATTTTTTCTCTTCAAAGTCACAATGCCATCTACCTAGCAGATTCTACACACCCAGTCATCTTGCCTATCTATGGCACTCTAGATTAGGCCACTTATCAAATAAGAGATTAAATAATGTTCATGGCTTACCAAAATGTGATTTATCTTCAATTGTATGCCCTGTTTGTCCACTTTCAAAGAAATCAAGACTACTCTTTTCACCTAGCTATTCTGTTTCACAAAGCTTATTTGAATTATTGCATATTAATCTTTGGGGCCCCTATGGGGTAAAATCTATCACAAACGCATTTTATATGCTCACCATCGTTGATGATATGTCTAGATACACCTGGACCTTCATGTTACATTCTAAAGCTTAGGTTTTTCAAGCCTTAAACACCTTTTTCAACCTTGTTCAAACACAATTTTTGGCCAAAATTAAAAAAATAAGAACCGATAATGGGAGTGAATTTATAAATTCAAATTGCATGTCCTTGTTTACCAAGTTAGGCATTATACACCAACAATCATGTGTATACTCCCCTCAGCAAAACGACCGTGTTGAAAGAAAACACAAAACCCTCATTCAAGTTGCCAGATCTTTAATGTACCAATCCAACCTTCCCAAATTTTTTTGGTTAGAATTGCTTTTAGCCGCAACACATATCACCAATCGATTACCTTCTGAACCACTAGACTGGCTGTCTCCTTATGAAAAATTAAATAAAAAAACCTCATAATCTTTCCTACTTTAAAACAATAGGATGCTTATGCTACGCCACCAATGTCACTCCCCATAAAATCAAATTCTAGAGTAGAGCCATACCTTCTGTTCTTTTAGGGTATTCTAGTCAACATAAGGGCTACAGGCTATACAACATAAAAAACAAACAAATCTTCCATTCTAGAGATACAATTTTTCATGAAACAATTTTTCCTTTTTCCAGCTCCAAACCAGAATCTGTTACTTCCTTCTCCCTTCCTAAATGTCTTGATGACTATGATCATGGACTTATTGATCCACAATTTTCCAGCTCCAAACCAGAATCTGTTACTTCCTTCTCCCTTCCTAAATGTCTTGATGACTATGATCCACAACCTTGCTTCTCTCCTAATCCCACTCCTCAAAATCACAGTGTACCTACCCCTTCCTCATCCCCACCCATCACAAAAACAACCACTAATGAATCCCAACCTGAACAGCAAATAATACAACCAGTGCTTCGATGAAGCACTAGAGTGCACTCCAAACCTAGCTGGTTACAAGATTTTGTTGCCACAACCATTACTAGCGGTGATGACAACATCTCAGCTTGCCCAATTACAGGTACCATTATATCTCAATACTCTTTTAATCCTCCATTATCTTATTTAAATTTTGTTGCTCAAGTTTCAAAAATTTAAGAGCCTAGTTCTTACAATCATGCTAAACATGACAGCAAGTGGACAGCAGCCATGTAAACTGAACTTAATGCATTAGAAAAAAATCATACATGGATCATTACAGACTTACCAAAAGGAAATAAGCCAATTGGTAGCAAATGGATTTATAGAATCAAATACAACTCTGATGGTAGCATTGATAAATACAAGGCAAGACTTGTAGCTAAGGGCTATAGCCAAATTCCTGGCATTGATTATACTGACACCTTTTCTCCTGTAGCTAAGCTTGTAACAGTGAGGGTCCTTCTTTCTATAGCAGCAGCTAAATCATGGCCAGTCCATCAATTGGGCATAAACAATGCTTATCTTCATGGAGAAATTGATGAAGACCTTTATATGATACCTCCACAAGGTTACCCAAATGTTCCAAGATGCCAAGTTTGCAAATTACTCAAATCTCTTTACGGTCTTAAATAAGCGGGGAGACAATGGAACAAAGAGCTCACTTCCTATCTTCTATCTCTTGGCTTTGTACAATCACAAACTGATCATTGCTTGTTTACAAAGATTTCAGGTGTAGATTTTTTAGCTTTGCTTGTCTATGTTGATGACTGTTTAATAATGGGTTCAAGACCTCTTGATATTTTTTATCTAAAGCAATTGCTGCACTCTAAATTCACAATCAAAGACCTTGGTGAAGCAAAATATTTTGCAAGTTTCTCTTCTCAAAGAACATCTTGATATCATCTAGACACTGGTCTGACAGAAGCAACCAGCACAACACTCATATATTCAAGGGACCAACCAAATTGACTGCCAATATGGATTCTCTTTTGCCTGATCCAGAACCTTATCGAAGATTACTTGGTCGTCTACTTTATTTATCAATTACAAGACCAGACATCTCATTTGCCGTGCAACAACTAAGCCAATATATGCAAGCTCCTTATTCTTTTCACTACAAAGCAACCTTATATGTGGTCAAGTATCTTCAATGCACAATCTTTGCTGGTTTATTCTTCCCTTGCAACAATAATTTTCAACTTACAGCTTTTGCCGATGCTGATTGGGCATAGAAACCAGAGAAACAACAAACAATCAGTAGGTCTTCTGCTGAGTCTGAATACAGAAGCATGGCCTCAACAGTATGTGAATTACAATGGCTTTCTAACCTACTCAAAGAATTTCAACTACCACTCAAATTACCAATACCCCTTCATTGTGACAACAAAGCTGCCATACACATTGCCTCAAATCCTGTTTTCCATGAAAGAACAAAGCACATTGATATTGATTGTCATGTGGTCTGATCCAAGCTCACAACAGGTTTCATTACTACACCACATCTCCCATCCAAACAACAACTCGCCGATATATTCACTAAACCTTTACCAACCCATTCATTTTCCAACCTTTTTTTCCAGCTTGGATTGGCATTACTATCCCAATCTCCAGCTTGAAGAGGGGTTGTACAGAATATTCATCATCTCCAATCATTATAAATCATTATTTACCCATCCATCACCCTACACTTGGCATCTTTTCAGTTAAACAAATTTCCCACCACAATTTAGTCTTATCTTGTAAATATTTAGTAGCCTACAAGAAATAGCCAACAAGGCTAAATCTAGAATATTCTTTTGCTGTATATATATTCCCCTGTACTCATCATTTTACTCTTGAGAATGAGAATTACAAAATATAATTTATTCTCCATTTTTCTTTATCTAAAGCTGCTCAATCTCCTCTCTTCAAAGAGCACCACCTCCTTCAACCCAACACCGCCACCACCATTACCATCAACAATAACAGAGCCTTCCAACTTCTTCTACCAAAGTCACTTCATCTTTAAATAATCTTCCCTATAAATAACAAAAATTTCTTCAAATTTCAATGTCCAATTGAAAAAATTAACAAGTAAATTCAAAATTAAGAAACAAAAATCTTGAACAAAGACTTTCAACAATCAAATCCAAGAATAACAGATGAGCTGATCATGAACAAACAGGCAAAAGTGTATATAGTATAGACCCATCTATTGCCATGATTAGTATGATTTTCCATCTTCACATGATAAAAAAAAATATTAACTTTGAAAGAAAATTGTAAAAATAAAGAAAAATCCAAATCAAAAACTAAAAAGTCGACACTTCAACAAAATTTGGAAAAAAAAAAAAAAACTAATTAGGGATAAAAACCAAACACCAAAATCAATAACAAAACTCAAAAACACAAAATAGAGGGCATGTCTTTTTATCTATTAATAAATGAACTCTCTTACCATCTTTATGAATAAACAAATTACCATCCTAAAAAATGAATACACCCTTCACTATAATAGGCCATATGAAAAAGATATTAAACAGTTTTTCTTCAATTCAATGGTCGACTATCGAATAAACGAAGAGATATTATACTAAATGCCAGTTTTTGAAACTTAATTTTTAAAAAATATTAGTTTGACTTTGAAATTTAAATTATTATCATTTGTGATATACTTTACTATTGTGTCTTTTTTTTATTAGTAGGACATTAGTTTGTTAATATTTCAGTGTTTTAATATGTTAGTATTTCGTTTTGTATTAATTTCCTATTTCCACTGTTGTTTCCTTTTTTTTAGTATGTTAATATTTTTCTGCTGCCGTTTTTTTTTCAGCCCTCACTATTTTCTGATGGTTCTTTCTACTTTTGCGATCGTCCATTATTTTCTTATTGTTATTTCTCTTTTTTCTATCGTTCTTCTCATTATTGATGCTGTTCCACGGTTTCATTTTTGATTCATAAGATATGTTGATTTCTATTTTTAATCTGTTGTTTATTATTGGAAGTATCTCTATCAGTTTTTTATACAATCAGTATATATTATAGAGATAAAGGTAGAGCTCTCGATTTTGTTTGGATTGATACTGATATAATATATATGTATACACCGTATTTACTTGGTTTGATCTAATGTGTTAATTGGTGTATATATATATATATATATTATATATATATATAATTATATATATATATATATATATAATATATATATTTCTATATTAACTTGATTTTTATAGTATTTACTGATATTTAATTTATATTATACACCGTATTTATTTGGTTTTGGTCTAATGTCTAATTGGCGTGTGTGTATATATATATATATTATATTATATATATTATTCTATATTTAATGATTTTACAGTATATATATATATTCTATATTTAATTGATTTTACAGTATTTACTTATACAATGTATATATACACCGTATTTACTAATACAATATTTATACACACACAATATATGCTATGTATTTCGTACTTACCATCGTTGTTGTCGCAGTTGTCGGTTATCAATTCCAGTCATCGGTCTCTATCGTCGTGGTTGAATCACATAAGCTATATAGGAATTTGCTCTTACAAATTTCATGTTTCCTTTTTTTATTGTTTCATTTTTTAGTATTTTCTTTTTTACAATGTTTTCTTTTTTTCAGTGTTTCTCGTTTCTCGTTTCTCTTACAAGGTCAGTTTTGATATTATTGAAATTTTTTGACCGAATTTATTATTATCTTAATAATTATTCTTTTCTGACATTTTATTAAAATTCAAACCTAATATATGATATTTGTTAAATTGTCTATAAACAAATGCCTAGAATCTAATATAGTGAAAAAACTCAAAACCAAAATAAAAAATAGGCAATTAGAAGAGCTGCTTGAGAGAAGAAAAACAAAGAGGCTTCATGCAAAAGCTTTTTGGTAAGAGAAAAAGACCAAGTCTTTGGTCTTCGTTCATTCTTCTTACTAGTACTGGTGGTCTTGGCTTGAAGGAGGTGGTCCATTGTGAATGGAGAAGAGAGGAAATAGAATGCGGGTTGCAAAATTTAATAAAGAGTAAAAATGGAAATTCATTACTAATGCCACGTGGAATCTATGTGTCATGCTAATCTGGAGCTCACTCATGTCACATCAGCTGCTGGAGATGAAAAATGAGTCCCATAATGGTACAATCATCTTTTCTGTTGTCCAGATCAGCCTTAAACACCTAAATTGCATTTCTTTTTTTATAAAGTGTAAACCCTCAATTGAGCTACTCTCCATTCAGACACTAAAATAGAAAAATTTTGAAAATTTAAACACTAAATATAACATTATTCCTTGTTTCAACGGGAAAGAAAGGCCATAAAGATCCAAGATAATTGACATTAGTAAGTGAATTTATACTCTAATCATTCAGTCACATAACACTATTCAAATATTTAAAACTTTTGAAATTTATGGGTATTTTACATTGAGTCTCTACACAACCTTATGCCCCCTTGATATTGACAGTGTCATTTTAATTTTTGATTTTATTTTTAAATAACTCTTTTGAACTTCATCTTCATATTTAGAAAATATATTAATCATTTTTTTAATAACTAATTATTTACGAGTGTCATGATTTTCTAATTTCTTGATTTAATTAGTTTTGAATTGTTTAAATTTATAGAATTTGTTTAGACATTTTATATGTTTTAATAAAACTTAGTTTAGTTAATTCAAATCTATGTAATTGAATTTATAGAATTTGATTCTTCATATTTTTTCATACCAAATATAAAAATTTAAATTTACAAATTACTTCCATAGAATTTTATGGAGTTTATTTATTTTAAACAAGGGGTAAAGATAATAAAATTAAAATATTTGTTCATAAACGAGGTAATGTTATATTCATAGCTTTAATTTTTCTGGAAGCGCAAAAACGCAACAGAAAATAAAAACGGTGGGAAGCTACCTGGAACCTTCAATTAAGAAGTGAAGCCCGCAAAGTCAAAAGCAAAATGCAATTCCCTGTCTCCATCCGGTAGGTTCCCACGTTGGTATGGCCACTTGTATTAGAAAACAGTCCAATTAGTTATGCTCTTTGACCTTAGAAAAACTTCAACTTTTTTATTTTATTTTATTTAGTGGGACCAATGTTCTATCCTTATAAAAAAGATTCAAACTTAAAATTTTCTACCTTTCTATACTTTATAGAAATATAGAAATAAAAGGGAATAATAAGATTTTCGATAGTACGCTAAATAAAATTTAGAATATGCTAAAATAACCTTAGTTACAGCCGATTATAAAATTACATTTTATTAGTTGATTGCATATATTTATAAATTTTTTTTAAATAAATAAATATAGATAATTTGATTTGATTTTAATTATAATTTAAAATATTTTTTTTCAGAGAAAAATAAAAAAATTATATTCTTTTTTCTTTATATTTGTATGATTTGATTGGATATATTTTAAAAAAAATAAATTTTCAAATATAATATACATAATATTTTATTAAATAAATTTTCAAATTAATATAACATAATATTTAATTTAGGAGAGAGATAAAAAAGAAAAAAATATATATTTTTTAAATATTTTTTCTTTATGTTTGTATTGATTGATTTGTATGATTTGATTGAATATATTTTTTTAAAAATAAAATTTAAATGGAATAAATATAATAACCTTTCAAAATTTTTAAATTTTACTTTTAAAATTTATTTTAAATAAAATGAACATATATATGTGCGGGGATTGTTCAACAGTTTAAAATTTTAATTTTAAGAATATACATAATATTTTATTGAAATTTTTATATATCTAAATATATCTATAATATTTAATGTTTTTATTCTTAATGATAATTTTTTATTTTTTATTTTCTTTTTCGTTAATGAATAATTTGTAACTATTATTATTTTAATTTAATAAAAGATTTAGTTTCCTTTGCAATAAATAGATGACCTCTTGATGGTTAAATATTTTTAATTTTCTTAATATTTTTTTCTTATATCATAAATCTGTTTGACTTGAAAGAAAATAATGTTTAGGAAATCATAATTGTTTGACTTGAAGAATAATAATTTGTTTTAGAAACTTGAAAAAAACTTAGAAACTATTTATATTTTTGTTTTTGGGTCTTTTTGTGGTTTAAAAAATATGTTATAATGCACGCATTGATGGTTAAATATTTTTAATTTTCTTAATATTTTTTTCTTATATCATAAATCTGTTTGACTTGAAAGAAAATAATGTTTAGGAAACTGAAAAAAACTTAGAACTATATATTTTTGTTTTGGGTCCTTTTTGTGGTTTAAAAAATTTATGTATATGAGCATTTATTCTTTTCTCTAATACACTGAGTAAGTAATAATGTCACTGTAACCAAAATGATTATCATTATCAATTTAGTTCGAGACCACTTTCATTATATAAAAATAAAATTAAGTACATAAGTAACATTATAAGTAACTTGTATGAAAAAATACAATACAACTTAACCACTTGTATTTATTTTCATCTGAACAAAAACTTGTGCTTTAATATTATATAGATAAAAAAAAATTAAAAATATAGAAAATGAGTATATAACGAGCATAGTCAATGTGCAATGTACATCATAAAATTAGTTACTAATTATATAAATAAAAAGACCAATTATGCCACATCTAATAGGTGGAAATGTAAACTTCAACTTTAGTGCTTTATATGTAATTTTTATAATGAAGTTTATCCAAGTATAATTTCTTTTAAAACTATATAATGATTAAATTGAAAAAAAAAAAAATAAAATACAAAAATTATCTATATTTCCTATGCTGTTTCGTCCTCAATCAAATCTTCGATTTTGAAGCGTGTGTCCAGTTTTCAAGTCAATGCATTATTTACGACAGCTCTCCTCCAGTTTTAAGCCAACTGCGATTTGCCAGCTATTATTCTAATCACTGAAAGGCAAACTTACAACAATTCCTCACTATATAAAGGCCTCAGGACATGGGTTCTACTATCATCACTTGTCTCTTTCTCTTTACCAACTAAGTTTTCTTAAAAAAAAAACAATGGCATTATCAAATATGCTTTTGCTTTCTACAGTCTTATTGTTTTCCCTAATGGCAATCTCAGACGCTAATTTCTACCAAAATTTTGACATAACTTGGGGCGATGGACGAGCTAAGATACTCAATGGAGGCCAGCTTCTCACACTGTCTCTTGATAAGGCATCTGGGTCTGGCTTTCAGTCCAAGAATGAGTACTTATTTGGCAGAATTGACGTGCAGATTAAACTGGTTCCAGGCAACTCAGCTGGCACTGTCACAACATTTTATGTGAGTATTACTCTTCATTATTGAATCCATAGCGCTGATTTTCAATTATAATCATTGTTTACTAAAATTTTTATGCATTATATGTAGTTATCCTCTCAAGGACCAAATCATGATGAGATCGATTTTGAGTTTTTGGGCAACTCATCTGGAGATCCATACATTCTCCACACCAATGTGTATAGCCAAGGGAAAGGAAACAGAGAACAACAATTCTATCTCTGGTTTGATCCCACATTGACCTTTCACACATACTCCATTGTATGGAATGCTCAAAAGATCATGTAAGTTAATTTTTCATTTTAAGTATTGTAGGAGGTTATTTACAATTTTTATTCAAAAATATAAGCATTATCCAAGGAATTTTTTTAATTTTTGTTCATGTACAATACAGTTTCATGGTGGATAACATACCCATCAGAGTGTTTAACAACTTAGAATCAATCGGAGTGCCATTTCCCAATAAGCAACCCATGAGGATTTATTCAAGCCTTTGGAATGCTGATGACTGGGCAACAAGGGGAGGGCTAGTGAAGACTGATTGGACAAATGCTCCTTTTATTGCCTCTTACAGAAATTTTAAAGCCAATGCTTGTGTTTGGTCTTCTGGGTCTCCTTGTGCCTTAACCTCCACCAATTCATTGCAGGACAGTAAATGGCAAGTTCAAGAACTTGATGCCTCAGGCAGGAACCGGCTGCGGTGGGTGCAGAAAAAGTATATGATATATAACTATTGCTCTGATTATAAACGCTTCCCTCAAGGTCTTCCATCTGAATGCAAGAGATCAAGATTCCTCTAAATTAAGACGCTACTGCTTGCCTAATTGTCCTTGGCTTCTTTCTTTCATTTTTTCCCTTGATAGGTCAATTTGGCTAGACAATTTATTATTATTTATTCTTTCGTGACATTTATTTATTCCTTATTCATTCTATAATATATAATACATTGTAATGTCAAATTATATATTAACTAGATGAAGGTTTGCCTATTGGAGCTATTATTTTATTGTCATATTATATATCATGTTTTAGAAAATATTTTATAATGTAAAGAATTTTCTTTGTTTTTTTTTGGTAAATAAAGAGAGCGAGCTATAAGGATACAAGTACAATCTAGAGTTGGTTACACCATAAGAGTCATGTAAAAGGGCTTTGGGAAGGATCCATAAACACATGAGTTCCCATATCATATTTCCTAGCCTCCTTTGAACGAAAATCAGCACAAAAGTTTGCTTCCCTATAAATATTGATGCACCTCACAATTACAAGATGTGGGGGAAGTTGCTGAATAGCCAAAACGATCCACTGGACAGGCCCAGAGGAGGATGTTAAAAAGAAGTATTTTTTCTATATATGTTATTTAGAGTTGAATACACTAATATATAGATACAAAGACAGAGGATTTTTAGACCTATTATAGCTGTACACAATCTGTGGCTAAACATAAGGATGACCCTTGAAGTATGGGATTTACATAACTAGATTTCTCTACTTACCTATTTAGACAGCTGTACAACAATCTGTGGCTAAACAATAAGGATGACCCTTTGAAGGTGTATGGGATTTACATTAACTATTTCTCTACTTACCTATTTAGACAACTCATGCAAATACTCCCCCTTCAAGTTGGTGCAGGATGACCCTTGAAGTATGGGATTTACATAACTAGATTTCTCTACTTACCTATTTAGACAACTCATGCAAATACTCCCCCTCAAGTTGGTGCATCGATATCTCTTATGTCCAACTTGTCAAGTGAGTTGTAGAAGTTCCTTGTAGACATTGCTTTTGTAAGTATATCAGCCAACTAGTCTTCTGATTTAACAAATGGGAGATAAATAATCCTTTCTTCAAGGTTTTGTTTGATAAAGTTCCGATCCACCTCAACGTGCTTAGTGCGATCATGTTGGACCGAATTGTGAGAGATAGCGATGGCCGCCTTGTTATCACAGAACCAATTCATTTCAAAACTCGGAGCAACTCTGATTTTAGTAGTAGCTTTTTCAGCCAAAGGAGCTCACATATTCCCTTGACCATTCCCCGAAATTGAGCTTCAGTGCTAGACAAGGCAACTACCTTCTGTTTCTTGCTTCTCTATGTAACAAGGTTGCCTCACACAAAAGTAAAGTGCCCAACAGTAGATTTCCTATTCGTGATGTTCCTTGCCCAGTCTGCATCTGTGTAGCCAGCAACCTTTAAATGACCATTCTTTGAGAGCATAAGCCCTTTCCTAGGAGAGGACTTTAAATAACGAAGGATCCACATTACGGCATCCATATGGTCTTCACTTGTGCAGTGCATGAACTGACTTACTACACTCACAACAAAAGCAATAACTGGCTGAGTATGAGATAAATAGATGAGTTTACCCACTAACCGTTGATACCTCTATTTGTCCACTGGTACCTGGTCTACATATTCTCCAAGTTTATGATTTTGGACAATTGGAATATCAGCAGGCTTACACTCTAGTAATCTTGCCTTTGCCAGCAAATCTAGTATATATTTTCTTTGGGAAAGAAATATGCCATGTCTTGACCTTGCCACTTCAATGCCCTAAAAATACGTAAGCCCACCTAAGTTCTTCATCTCAAACTCAGTTGACAATTGCTCTTGAAGCCTGGATATTTCTTCTACATCATTCCATGTAATGATCATGTTGTCTACATAGACTATGAGCGCTATTATTTTTCCCACTTGATGTTTTAGGAGGAGAGTATGATCAAAATTGCTTTGTCGCAGCCCATATTTCCTCATTGCCAAACTCAACCTGCCAAACCATGCCCGAGTTGATTGTTTTAGCCCATACAATGCTTGTTGTAACCTACAAGCAATTTTTTCCTCTTAAGTAGCAGTAACCTGGTGGAATATCCATGTAAATCTCCTCTTCAAGATCACCGTGGAGGAAAGCATTTTTCATGTCCAGTTGGTGTAATGGCCAATCTAAGTTTGTAGCAAGAGATAACAGAACTCTAATAGTTTTTAGTTTGGCTATAGGTGAAAAAGTTTCCTGATAATCTATACCATATTTCTGTGTATAACCCTTTGTTACCAGCCTCGCCTTATCTCGATCAATAGACCCGTCTGCTTTATATGTGACATCCTACTGAGTCGAGTCTTGCATTGAGTCGAGTCTTGCATTGAGTTGAGTCGAGTTGAACCGGAGGGGAGAACTGTGACATCCTACCGAGTCGAGTCTTTGCATAGTCGAGTCTTTGCATAGAGTCGAGTTGAACCAAACCCGATTGGGGTAGAATGAGTTTATTAGTGGACTTACTTGATTGAGAGAAAAAGAGCAAAGTATAAAGATTTGGAGTTACTTGCATTAGAAGAACAAGTAGATCAAGCTTGGGTATTAAGTTGTAGTCTTTTGACAATAGAGGTATCATTTCATAAGTTTCCATCATTTATCTTGATTTTGTGATGGCCTACCCGTAATCATCATTTTCACTTTCCCATTGTTCATCTTTATCTTCATCTTCTTCATCTCCTTCCTTTCCTTTATTTCTCCATCCATTTAGGCAACCTCAATTTTTCAACAAGTAAGTAGACTATCTTGAAGCTTATGTATTCAACCTCTTTGAGTTATATTGTGGAGAATTTATAAGAATTCTGATGTGTATAGGAGAAGGGAGTTCAAAGCTTGTAGAGAAAAGAAGCTAGAACAGAGCTCAAGCTTTTGGAGTGGAGGTTTGATATCTGGTTTGATATCTCATGTTGTTTACTAGTTTCTTTGCATGTAAATTGTGTGGTGTGTTGCTAGTGAGATGATATGTTGCTTGTTGTTGAGTGAGAAGATTGGACATGATGTGAAAACAGGGGAGGTATTGAGATTATGTTGAAAACAGGGGAGGACTTCATCTTGATTTTGACCCCATTTAATGAGGGAATTAGGAAGTGTTATAGAAGAGTTATTCGTTCCTCTATGTGTTAGCTTTGCATGGGTTTTTGAATCACCCAAATTGGATTTGTATATTGAGAGATATGACCAAAAGAGTGCAGACTGCGCAGGCGAGTGCCAGACTGCGCTAGGGCTGGAAAACGCGGGGTCGCGACCTGGCACTGCGTTAGGCCTGGAACATCACGTCCGTGCGCTTCGGCGACTTTGCACTGCAGCGCCAGTGACTTTTCCACTTCAAACTCTCTGGGACTCTTCAATTCATTACGTGCTCGTTCGACCTTGCACTAGATCGCAGGCTCGGCGATAGCTGGGCCCTTGGCCTGGAATGCGCATCGTCGACTTTGCCATTGCGCGCTCGCGTAGTTGGACTGAAAAACTCCACTGTCTCATCATAATTTGTCACACTAGCGCGCTTCGCGACTGCTCAAGTACGCGGGGTGATCGCGACTTTGTGCTGGTAAAACCACTGTCCCCCTATTTTCTGCATCTCGCTGCTCGCGGCGCTCGCGACTTCCACAGGCGCGCTCGCGACTTGGCTTTTCCTGCATTTTTGGACTTTCTTTTCCTATGTAAATGGATTCCTTGCTCAACTTGTATGCATCCAATCATTGTAAAACAAAAAGACAACATTAGAATATGGATTAAAACAACAGGCAAGCATGCAAATGATGTGAAATCATATGAACATGATGATTTATGAAGTGATGAACTATTACTATGATGTTGTGTTATACTTGTGACATACCAACATTATGCTCCATGGGGGTTAGGTAGAAACCATGTAGATAAGACCATGTCGCGACATAGGATAGCAGATCTGCGCCTCATACAGTTTGTTACTCCGGCTACAGGCCGTTGAGTGCGCCTCATACAGTTTGTTACGGCAAGGGCCTCGATGTGGAGTATATGTATTAAATGGGCCATAGTCAGAATCGCAAGTTACAGTATCCATCCAGTGATAATTTTATCTTCTTCCTCGGTTTCGCGAAAGTAAAACCTTTATGAGTCAACAGATTTCCATGAAATCATACAGCATAATAAACAGCAACGTATCATGCCTATATCGTGCTTATATGTTATAATTATCCCAAGCAATGCGGTTTTTACCATGTGGGTATTTCGTATACGGTGTATGTGCTTCGTATTACTTCTTGTCTGTATGTGAGATATGCCACTGAGCCTTTATTTGCTCAGTGATCGGGTTACCCTGTTTAAAACTCGCAGCCGGTCTCCCTCTCGCCAGACTCCAGTCCCATAGAGCAGTCAGCTTAAACTGCTGCCAGTTCATCTGATAGAAGATTCGGTCTTCAGGTGTTAGGAAAACTCATTTGTTTTATTCTTTTTATGCATGTACAGGGCACTGATCGAGTTGGCCCAATCATTATAGAGGGGCCTGGAGGAATTAAGCGGTGTCCCTACCTCCATATAACAGCATCAGGCATGCTGTATGTCTATACATGGCGATGAGTCAGCTGACAGGTACATGAACATGTCAACCTGTTGTATGCGTTCTCGTCTCTGGTTTATTCTGGTGTTTACGGGTGACCGAGAGAGAGTGTGTACAAAAATCTTTGGTATCAGACCCTAGGGTTCGAGTTCCCCGGGCTTGCATTCATAAGTCACGGGTTATAAGTGTAATCGATACTACCCTTGATGAACTAAGCAGGTTCTGTTGTTCTTTTTTAGAGAGGATGTTAACAAAAGAAGGTACGAGTTGAGTTCACACGCCCCAATCTGCAGTGGCTGGAGGTGAGGCGTCCCCGCGGATGCACCACGGTTCAAGAGACGCTGTTTAAAGCAACTTGAGATTACTTTCATGAGAGATTGAGGAGTGATACCTTGCAGCGACCGAATATTGAGTAGAGAAAAAGGAAAGAAAGCCCCCACTTGGAAGAAGCTTTAAAATATTTTGTGCAAAGAATTCGGGAGTAGTGCAGTAAGGATGATTAGTCCAGGAAATTAGGCTGTATGGTTAGATGGGACATCGAGAGTGGACAATACAGTGTGCCAGCGTAGAAGACAGTGAGATATGGCCACATCAGCTAATAGATGACAGCATGATAACAGGGGGACTAGGCTATCAAGGCAGCGGAG